TTTGGTGGATAAAGATTTTGTGAGTTCCAATCCACCAATGAATTAATGTGTCAACTCATCGGTGCTTAGAATAAGATGAGCACCGGTGCTCATTAGATCATTTCTGTATATATATATATATATATGTTAGAATCAGGTCATGTTAATTTTGATATGGTGTTATCTAATTATTTGGAGGCATTACATGAATCTTTTCCTTGTACGCTACTTTAAAATTCAAATATTCAATTGTGTTTCATGCCATTTTAGGATAATTCTCATCTATATGTATTTTTCACAAACAGATATGTAAAAACCCAATTAGTTTGCAGCTTTTAGTATATGAAAAATACTGTACCTTGAAATAATATATCAATATTTCACTGCAACTAATAATTGAATTAATTTGAATTAATGGAATGGTTACAAGTATTAAGGAAAATGAACCAGTTAAGTATTATAGGTCTTGATGAAAGTTAAGGTTAATTACAAAATTTGAATTTCGGAATTATCAGATTTTTTTTTTTTAATAACTGTGGATATTCGAGTCAGCTTGCGCGTACCTCGACTAATCTCACGGGGCCCTGAAGTTTACGGCTAGGCACTCACCTTAATGGCTTTGAGGGGATTCAAATTGATGATCATTGGGGAGCAAACTCAATGCCTGACTGATTGATCAACCCCTCAAGATTATTATCAGATTATGAATAGTCTTGTCATTTACATGGATATTAGTCGATATATGAGTATTATTACAGTTTATTATATTTGATACTATAGAATTTAGTTTATGATTTTTCAGTATTATTACAACTTATCAGATTTCAGATTAATTTCTTGCATCTATCAATGAACTAGTTAGGAATAATAGATCTTGATGAAAGTTGAGGTTTTCAATTTTCCTAATTGTTATTTGATTGTCTATTAAATTGAGAGTTTTTCAATTCTATAGATCTAAGTATTGTTATTTTGCAAAATCAATAATTTGTTGATCAATAATAAATTCTCAAAATTTTCGACGAATCAACGATTCTTGATTGACAATCCTTATCATTTTTAAAAATCAACAAATTTTGATCGTATTTTCAAATATTTTACGTTTCACCTACATAAGAATAAAGTAGGTAGTGGCACTAAGTTCAAGCTGCACTATCATGTATGCCAATGCAGAAAATTAAGGTTTACTATAGTGATTGACAGAGGAAGAACTAAGAAGAAGCGGTGGGAAGTGGGATTGTGTTGGAGAAATTAACGGAGCACCCGTGCCTCCTTGGAAATTATTACTATGAACTCAATATTCTAATATATTATTTATCATTAATTTAATTTCCAAAACTTTACGTGGTATTCAAAAAGTACAAATATTATATATTAAGTAATTAAAAAATGATCAACGTTATAATCGAGGAAACTTGAGCTAGTTTAAGTTAATTATTGACAGGAAATGAGGCCAGCTCTTTTTGTTTTTACTTTTACTTATCAGATAATAAATATTCGACTTTTATAATTGAGAACAAAAATAAAATAAGAAAAGAAAAGAGGAGGTCTCAAACTCGTTTGAACAAACGACAATTTACACTAACCCATGCAGAGTGCCAGTTTCGAACTGTGTGTAGGGTTTGCATGGACACAATTACATACATACATACATAGAGAGAGAGAGAGAGAGAGTAGGCTTTGTTTTGATTCTTGTATCTGTGTATGAGAAAAGTGGAATAATCCATCTGATAAGCTGATATATAATTATGCATTGGAATGCTAATTTTTACTCTGTTTTTGTCATTCAAAACCCTACATTGGCTTTATGATTCAAACCCTTTTGACTTTGGACTTCTTTAAACCTACCAATCCCATCTCTTTGCCTTCAGCAACACCCAATAATCAATACTAATTCTTGAAAATGTAAAAATCAACTCTTACCTCTTCAAATTGTTAAGTCATGAAAATATCTGATAATAAAATTTATCGTCTTTCAAAAAAGACGAGATTAAAGAAAAGAGATATAATACGATTTCTTGGCATAATATAGGTGTGCTCTTTGCAATGTTTTAAGCTGTTTCGTCTAAAATTCGGAACTATCATCGCAGGCTCACTTCGCATCATAACCACGCGGGGGCGGAAATTAGAAGGATGGCCAGAAGGTTAAGACTGAACGATGCTTGAAATGTGCAAGTCCGAGTTGGCATCGTATCTATGTATATTGTTTGCAAATGCAATTTTCATAATTAGAACCCCAAGTCTAAGGGACCATTTGGCATAGCTTTTCGAAAGTCAAACAGAACTTTTGAGACCCAAAAACTACTTTTGGACCATTTTGACTAATTTTATGCAAGCCCTTCTGGTAGTTAGAAAAGCTACTAGAAAAAGATATCCAATGTAGCTCTCTAAACACACTTTCAAAATTAAAATAAAAATTAAAGTAATTTCCTTCAAAAACTCTTTACAGGAAACAAAAATCATGCCAAACGGATCCTAAGTTGAACTTTCCATATGTATTGGACTGTAACCACAGTAGTTTCAAATTATCTATGCTTATATATAGTTCCATACACATAAATAGAGCTGAGTAACTCGACTGCACGTGTATTTTCGACCTTTGCGGTGTATTTACACTGGACACTTCTCAATTTACTACTGATCTCTTTAATGCAAGTGGATTAGTGGAAAGGGGACAAAAAAAATTTTTAAGTATTTTTACAATAAACAATCATTCACGTACATTTTGATTAATACAATTATTTAAGAGGCTCAATAATATAATATTGTTTGTGGAAATTCCTACTCATTCAACTGGTAAATATGCGATGTAGAAATTATTTGTTTGTTTCCACAGTACAATTTCCTGTATTATTATACAATGAATCATGGTGGGTGCAACTCCATGACTGAGAAAACATATCTTACTACAGTACATAATATCAAAATACAAAGATTGAATAAATGTACAACACGATTACTCAATCAATACTGGGAACAGTTTTTTTCTTCGACAGGACGACTAAAATGAACGTCCATCACCTTAGAGGTCTTCGAATGCTTCTTGTTCTTCGGAGAAACTCCTAACCAGTTCTGGATATGCTCAAATACTTCGTCGTTGTTCAATAGTCCCCGATGACTGCCACGAACCCCTATTCTTTCAACTGGATCAAGATTATCCGCCTGCACAATGAATTAAAAGATATTTCAAAAACAGAAAAAGGGGTAAATACAACAAATACTCGAAGATCAATTCGACTGTTATAGTGTGAAGCAGTCTTCAGAGTAAAACCAAGAACAGATGTTACTCTCTTGCACAACATCAATAATAACTGTTTGAGTAAACATAGCCCTCAGATAAAGAGAAGGTAAAGTGAATTTTCATAGCAAGAGGCTCGAGTCTACGAGTTTTAGAATTGACTTTTAAGATTAGTCCCTGATGAGTTCATCTCAGACAAGATAATGAGCATGGGACGTGGACACAAATTCTTTCCAGCTTGGCTTGATTAGTTAACAAACCAACCCCAAAGAAACACTTGGCAAGGGACTCTTGGTTAGTTGCAGCCTTGCAAGCCTAGATTGTAACCCAAAGTGCATAAGTAGAAGAAAATTCGAGAGTATTGGAAACTGAAGCGACTTTTTAAAACTCCCACAGGCTCTTTACTGTGCATTACTTAAGAATTTTGCTCAATAAACAACTAATGAAGACTACAGTACAAATCTGTCTAAATATCAAGTTAATAGACTACCTGCAAGTTAGATGATTTATACACTTATTCAGAGCTTTAAAAAATGACATTTTGTAGTTGTTTTGATGAAATATTACCTAATTTATTATGTATTGTGTTTAATAGGTAAAACTCATGATTTGATGAAGAATTGGAGAAAATGGTAAAAATTGGCTCAATTGTAAGAGATCCAGAGTTCGGGTACTAAAGTGCAAATACTCAAAAATTGTAACGGACCTCAAGACGAAGATTCGAGAGTTCTATGTATCAATTGGATGAAAAAAGTCAAAAGGAATGAAATAGAGTCAAAAGCATTATCACACATAAAGTTCCAACCGAAAAAGTTAAGTTCCGAATTTTCAGCCTCATACTGAGACCCATTTTTTACATAACAAACATTCGAATTGGAAAAATGTGTATTGAAAAATTATAGCTGTTTGAGTTACATTTCCAACGCACTTTGAATCGACTCAATCAGATATCGTAAGAGAAAGTTATGGCAAAAATGCAGAAAGCTGCTTTGGACAAGCCTAGGAGCATGCCTCCTCTTCTAAGACCATCTACAGCTCCAAAACCACGAGGCGTGGCCCTAGCTAAGCCTAGGCACACACCCCAAAGTAAAACTGGAAAAAATTCTTTTTTCGTTTTCTTATTTCGGTATCTTTTAAAATACAATCGTTTTGCATTATATGCATTCCAGAACTCGACTAGAACGTCCCCAACCCCCATTGGACCTTATTCTACACATTCTACATATTTTTGGAAGCGAAGAACAAGTTTATACATCAAATGAAGGCGAATCATACAAGGAATTGAAGATTCATAGCTCGACTCAAGATTCAAGTCAAGAACGTGGATTTTTCCTACTTTCATCTTTCTTAATTCCGGGTGATTTTTTCCAATTTTCTTGTGTAATTTAATTACAAGAATGTTAGGCTAATTCTTCATTTGTATTGGCTGGATAATGGACCTCATTAGTTGTTAAATTCAATTCGTGAATCCTTAATTTAGTAATTTCTTTGATTTTTTTATTATTTATGCATTCATATTGTTTTATTTAATTGATTAGCAACCAATTGGATAACTTGTTGCCTATTTGTAGTAATGGAAGGCTCACAATAGGTAGAACGCTGAATATTTAACACACGGACAATATGCAATAAGAATAATAGTTATGGCTTGTGCAATCTTGTGGCATAAATCATGTGAATTAATACACGCTTTTCATATGAAATTGGACTAGGAATATGATCGGATCGTGTTTATATATTTAATATATCTTAGAAAAGAATATTGAATAAAATCGGATTATCAATTGTCATTAACATTAGAAAATAATACTACTTTTTATGGGTCCAGAATTGGAAATAGCACTATTGGCGGGATTCAAAAATCCAATACATTCATCACATATTTGATAAAACAACTTTTATTGCTTTCGTAGTTTAAAAATTAGTATAAACAAAGAAATCATCTCTTAAAAAACTTAAATTTAAAATTAACTTTAAACGGGGAGGGTAGCGAGGCAAAGACTATGTTTCCCGTCCCCACCCATTCGGGGTGAGGCCCCACGAGTATCGGGTTGAGCGGATTTTTTGTCATCCCGACCAAACGTTAGATATAATAGCAATTCAGAAAGTAGAGATATTGTACCTTTGATGATTCAGTCGGGACAGTTCCATCACCATCCACAAAAGAGTATTCAGGCTGAAACAAATTAAAATATACACCGAATAAGTACTACCATATTCGTGTCTGGAGGTGGGGGAAATAGATCATCTAGAGCTTCGATATAAATAAAGCTCAAGTTTCTTGATATAACTTGTACATACGCATGCATGGCAGGTAGTCACTAATGCTATTATGTAATGATGGTTTATGGAGTTGAATTTAGCCCCTATTTGGTGGCCATTATTTTTTTTAGGAAAAACATTATTTTAAATAGTGATTTTTTTTTCTTTTAGAATGTGTGATTAAAATGTAAGAAAAAGTTTTGGGTTTACGTGTAGAATATTTTATGGTGTGAATGTTTGGTTGAAAATAAGTATGCAAAAAAAAGTTTTGAAAGAATGAGAGACAATCAAGAGCTTAATCATGAACATTTAGTGACGAAAGCACAGAACTAGGCATGTGCATATTGTGTGCACATCTACTACTATTACAAGGCAAACAATATAAAAAGAATAATGTTATCTAACACCACTGATGTTGAACACCACTCTAATTATCAACATATCATAGGTCAAATGGGACATAATTCCTTGTATTTAATTGAACCTGTAATTTAGTGACACTAGTGTTGTCATCTAGACTGGTGTTAAACACCAATGGTGCTAACTAGCATTACTCTATAGAAATGGAAGACGGAAGACATCAAAAATACAATATATGCATTGCGTGCATTCGAATGAACATAATTAATTCAAGTTACTTACATTTGAATGGCATATCTCAGATAGCTCGTTGATGGGAGAAGATTCTGAACCATAGCTGCAAGCAGGATCAACACGAATGCATTAGATGTGCTCGTGATTCAAATTATTAATGAATTTCAATGCAAGAGGTGTGTGTATTACGGACAAATGATCTGCTAGGTTGCAGACAGAGAAAAAAAAAACAATATTAAAGCATGCTATATCAAGGTTGGGTGGCATTTCATTCTCTGTGAAAACTGCAATTCCACGTCAAAGTGTAAGGAGCTGATTAGAAAACTGTAATAAGGCTAACAGAGACATGATTAATTACAAACGCACTTATAATACACAAAAGGAACCATACACTAACACATTTTCTAATATTTGGTTCTTCTGGTCTTTACTTCTTTATGATGAGACCAAGACTACATCACTGCAAGTAGAAAGAACGGCAATATACAAGTTTGGCTCTGTTGTTTCAAGGCATTTAAAAAATCCAATTAGCATGTTCATAATGAGATTCATTTCACACATCCAAAGAAGCAGAAATCTCTAAACCTGGTTTCAGCACAAGTCATGTGGTATTTTCAGGTTCCTGTATATTTCAGAAGTATATAGATGCTAATGAGATTTGACACATTTATGGACTAAGAAACTGTTAAAACACAAACAATGAGAAACAGTTTCTTTAAACTTGATCCAATCAGAGATTCTGGCAAAAAATTAAATATTCAGGTCTGGCTGATTGATGTAAGCTAATTTTTTATTATTCTGAGCTTTTCTGCTTTACCTTTTTCTGAATTTATTTATAATTAACAGTAGCAGTAAGAGGGACTGCTCACACTATAATAGTGATATTTTACTTGGGGTGGTTTGCCTAATACTTATTCGATTTTGGATGTCTTGCCCTCAGTTAAAGGCTAAGGCAGAGATTTAATCTCTTTGAATTGGGTTTTTATGTGTATGTAGTCTTTTAGCCAAGGGTAGGCAGACCAATAGTATTTTTATTTCATCATTGTTCTCTATTCTCCATAGTCATGGATGGGCATTCCTCGGTTCAATATTTGCTTTGATTTTGAACTTGGTCCTCCTTCTGGCATCATCTTCTCTTTATGCTTAGTCACTTACTACCTTACTGAAGGCCCAATTAAAGAATTTGTGTGCGCGAATCATACCACTTTTCTACACAAAAAAGTTAACTCTTCTAAATAACAGTTTTTAATCTCATGGAGCTTCAGTTTAGCTACATACCAAACATCAAAAGGTGTGTCAAAAGATGTCCCATAGATGTTGTAAAAAGATATTCCATTCGGAACTTGAGTTTTATTGATAATTTCCCGAGTACCAGCAGCCCATTTAAGAATTGCTGAGTTAAAAGGTAGAGGGACTGTTTTCCCATTGTAACTTAGCTGCAAATTAAAAGAAAAAAATTACTAAAATAAAGATTGTAGTATTATGACAGGATATGCTGATATGTAGATGTCTCAAAAGCGTGAGTACCTCATTGCTTTTTAATGCTTCTTCAAAAAGATTCACACTCGCACCAGGGTCGTAGGATTCCAGTTCAACTGATGTTTCTCCATCCTTGGATTGCTTTCGCCATACCTGAATCTCGGGTTTCTTTTTCCAATCGAAATCAATGTTTGGCAGCATCTCATAAATTGATGGACACTCCACAAGCTATGCATGATATCAAATAAGTCAAACCACAAAGCAAGAGAAGAAAAGGAAAACTCAACCAAGAAAATTCCAAGAAAACTCTATGCTATACAAGTATTGAGCTAAAACGCAAAATGTAACTGACCATTTCTAGACGGAAGCAAGTAGAGATGATAACTAGAACGTTTGACCCAAGTTCCTACTACTTTTACAAACAAACTAAGGAATATAATAACCCGATGAAAATAGATGTCTAGGAAAGCCTATCCATTCACTTTCAGAGGTTCTCAGTAATGCATTTCTAGGAACTGAAATGTGCTCCAAAAAAGCAAACATCATTATCTCCTTCTCGGTAACTCCTTGATGCCAGCGTTGTTTATTGTATGTTGTTTCTACTATTTTTCTTGTGCTACCACTTGTGGACGTGCTTTGAATATAATATAGATATCATTCCTTCTATGGCTTGGAATATATCATAGATCACTATCAATGCTATTCAAAACATAAACTGCATTTCCTTTTTATTCAATCATACTGTGAATCCTCAAAGTTTTTTGAGGATAGCATATGCTTATATGCTTTCAATGTAAGGCAGTGGTGCTTCCTAGTTTATGGCTGTTATCTCTTTATGTTGGGTCTATATTGTAAACCTTGAGGTAAGGCCCCATGTCTAACTTTTATGTACTTCACTTGGTTATTAATCAAATAGGTAAGGGATGGTGCAAAACCCTCCGTTTACGTTTGATTGGAAGCCTAAAAACTCCTGCTCAGACATAAACAGATTTTGATTTTAAAAAATTAAATCAAAGTTCCTATGCTAATAAAATCCAAGTAACCAATATTTCAATTTGCACAAGAATAGTGGCATTGCTTACTCAATGTTTTGACCGGAACACAACGCATACAAATGTCTGACCCCTAAAATAGCAAAAATCTTTAGCATCTGATATATGACAAATCAAATACGCAAAACACACTTGACTCTTGTACTGCAAGATGGTATTTTGATCATTGCATGACATACTGTGAAAACGTATGGTGAAAGGTGTTGAGAATTAGAAACCCTAATTCTATTCGACTGAGTGCAATCAATTCGTAGAAAGAAAAATAAACACTCAAGATGCAAGATTTATAGAAGTTCGCTTCAATATGAGACTACATCCTCTTCCGCCGCTACAGTAATTCACTATGATGAAGAGAAATTTACAAGAGAAAATTGCTCACCTATCTTTTCTCACCACTCTCTTTTATGATGGTTATTAAAAGTCATTATCCCTATTTATAAAACAAATTAGGGAAAAATCGAAATTTAAAGGGACTCAAATTCCTAAGACGAACATTACAAGAATACAAATTCCTAAACTGAACTTAATGAAACCCTTCCAACCCTACGGTGACCTCACCGCAGAGGTCGATCCACGACGGGCTCCACTGGCAATAATTAGACTCCACAACAAAAGGTGTGCGCATTATACCAAAAAAAAAAGACTTAAACTACACGATTAGAAAGACTATTTCCAGATATTTATTAATCCTTGAAACAGGGTAGATTACCAGTTGATGCATTGACCACCTTGACACAAAAAAGTAGATTTCGAAGCCCTCAACAAACTGCACTCAAGTTAGTAGACAATCATTGATGTATCCTGGTGCCCCTGTTCAAAATTAATAATCCTGGTGCCCCTGTTCAAAATAAATCAGGCTCATTATGTAAGCTCACTTTGGGAGAAAAGAAATTAACAAAACATAATAAATATATAATGCTCAGATTGTGCTACAATTCTCCAAGAAAGAATTCAATTGCTAAATGGAGTTCACTTTTTGTGGGTGGCAAGACCACATTAGTGACTAAAGGTCGGTTATAAAAACATTGGAGGAAGAGAGATTGGCAGTCCATCTATAAGGTAGCTCCCGTAACAGCTGGTAAATAACGTGTTAATATACAGAAACTGGTATTTCATGTCTACGGAGGATTGGTAGAAACCAACTTCATCTACTTACTTCCAAGTGGATAAAAAGAACGGTGAGCAATGTTCCCTCTCTCATACTAAAATGCTCTAATGAACATAAAATTTGGATTACTGATGGTAAAATATCTCCCTAAAGATTGCCATATCAGAGGGTTGGGGGGGGGGGGGGGGG